CCCCCAAGGGGGGCGGGCGGCGCTCCCCTTGTGCGATACTTTACAATAGACGTCGTGACAGATGCCGTACGCAACATCAATGATCACCGTGCGCAAGTGAACAGAAAGCACATCCACACCCCTTTGTTCTGTTGCTTCCACGTCAATCTTCGGTTGCTGTCTGACGCCAATCTCAGACAACCCTACGACCGACATCATCTAGGAATGTCCGCCCCAACAGACGTATCTCACGCCCATATTCCTGCAGCACCGATACAAGATGTTCCAACCTTCCTCAAACAAGAGACATTCTCGGCCTGCATCGGGCGCCTCTAGCTTGTTCCATACGACATTCCGCCAGATTAAAGAAAACATTGGTTGCGGCATTTTGTTTCAATCATGAGTTGTGTGTGGGCGCTTCGACCCGATCTATTCCGGTGTCAGCCTTTTCACGTCGTTTTTGTTTGGCGGTTCAGGAGGGGTCCATTCACACCACAGAACACGAAGGGTCAATCTGATACATTTGTTTGTTTCTTCTTGGACTATCACACAACGAACCCACGGAGAAGAGTCCAGGATTCGTTCCTAAATAGTAGCACAACGAATCCACGGAGAGCAAGAGTCCAGCAAATTTGTTTTTCAAACAAGCGTGAGAACCTGTTCGTTGCATTTCGAAAGGGCGGTGCAGCATGTACTCACCCCGCCCTCCAGCGTGGCCATCATCAGCTCCCTCCTCATCCTCCTCCTTCTCCTCCTCCTCCTCGTCACCTCCTGCTCTAGCTTTAGAAGCCCTCAGGCGTTTCCCCCCGCCGCCCGATGCCAATGCGGGGTCGGAAGCGGCGAGATCGACCGCCAACAGAGTTCTCTTGGATGCGGCGGAGAGGTGCAGGGCAGGGGCAGAGGCGCCGTGCTTCATCCGGACAACACCCACCCCGCTGGCAACCTGCCGCATTGTGCCGCATTGTGCCGCATTGTGCCGAAGCAGAAATGAACGCATGCCGTGCTCGTTAGACGGGTAGATGGCGGCGTGGGGGGGGGGGGACGGGGGGG